CAGCAGGGTGTGACCTTCGTTAAGCTCAGAAATCAGCTCCATGAGCAGTGGCTGATGCTGCAGTGAAAGGGGGTAAGGTGCGTAATCAGGAGCCGGTGGCTGCCTGCATGCACGTGGCCCACACGTCGCGGGTGGGCCCCATGCAGTCCCACAGGCACCGACAACAGCGCGCCTGCATACAGTGAATCCGAGAAGCCTTTGGTGTTCGCTATAGCCGTAGTGAATATTCGCTGTGGCGGGGTGAATTTGTGTGGCGAGCGATCGGGGGTAGCGGCGGCGTTCGCTGTAGGCAGGGTTTTCGCTATGGCGGGGTTCGCTGTAGCGAGGGAGCACTGTAGTGGCCAATTCCCACCTTGACACGCGGGACGCTCAGGTTGTGAGACCTGCTTGGGGATATTGGGTTCAGCAGGCCCACCTCAAGCTTTAGCTGCGAAGCCAGAGGGCTGAGTTGAGGGCAGCTTAGCTGCTCGTGTAAAATCACTGACATGCCGGAACGCACTTGTGTGGGGGCGCACGGTGGCTCACAGAGTCATCAGCGTAGCTGGGATTGAATTGCGGTCAGGGCCCAGCCCGTACAGGGCGTTGCCGCTGCTGACGCCCTTGACGCGATCCATGCACGCCCGCAGCTGCAGGGAGGAGGAACCCACACGTGAGAAACTGGCGCATGTGGGAAGGGCGTACAGGGCGAAAGTTCTGCTGCGTGGTCCATCTGCAACCTCCTGCTTCACAGTACAGTGCTCGGCTGTTTGAGTTCCTGCCAATTCGGTGGGGCCAGCAACCACAGCAGCATACCGGCAGAGTTTGGGTACCTGCCTATAGCCATTCATACCTTTGCAGTGCATGTGTGTTTCAACGCCAAGCACCGATGTTTCCTATGGTATGATCTGCCCTCTCGCAAGAGCGCGCGGCCGAGGCAGCCAAGCACCAAACAGGCGCCAACGATCGGATCTTTGCATCCACACGGACCTGGTCAACCTCGTCTTCGAGCTGACTCGAACCTGCACTACTGTATTCACCAGGTTGAGCCTCAATGATCCATCATGAAACTGGACCTTGGAGTGTGAGATCTGGCTGTCACCCATTCATGTCAAGAGGCGCGCTTTCGCAGCTGCAACGAGCAGCTGGATGGCGTTTGGGCAGAGTGCAGCAACACAGCTTTGATGCGTGGGACTTGCATTTGAACTCGTCAGATACCGGTACGCAGATGCACAACAGACGTCAGACGCTGTACAGATCATCACCACTGCCATTTTAGAGTAGCAGCCAGCCGCGTTCAAGCAGATAGAAAATCTAGTACTGCTTCAACGCGGCCACTATGGCCGAGGAGGACGCGACGGTGAAGGAGCCTTTAGATCTCGTCCGGCTCAGCCTGGATGAGCGTATATACGTCAAGTTGCGAGGCGAGAGAGAGATCAGAGGACGACTGCACGTGAGCGTCAGCCTAGTGCATCGGCCTTTGCACTGCGCGCGCGCCGCCTCAAGACGGCACGCGCTTGCTCTTGCCCACGCTGCTCGAGGGCTCGTTTAAGGGCGCCTTGCAGCAGCCAAGTTTCCCCTGAGCATCGCGGAATTTCAAGCAGTTCCCATGCTTGGCGCTGCTGCTGTTGAGCAGCACCCCCTGCGGCATGTGCTCCCTGCATGCCGTGATGCCCCTGCTCGCCACGTCCACCGACCAATGGCCACCTGTTGCTCCTGCTGCTTTCCTCCATACCGCTACCTGGGACCAACCAGGCGTACGACCAGCACCTAAACATGATCCTGGGGGATGTGGAGGAGACCACCACAACAATTGAGATAGATGACGAAACCTATGAGGAAATCATCAAGGTGGGGGCCGGAATGTGTGCAGGGGTGCCTGCTGGTGCGGTGCAGCGACTGCGCCGGGGGTGTGGGGCGGGGGGGGGGGGAGGGGG